TTGGCCTTTTCTTTAAACTTGGTCAACTTCAAGGAATGGGAGGAGGAACTCAGGAGAACTTTCCGGAATTGTTCCTTGGAGTATACTCTTGATACTCCCAATCCAAGCTTCTTTGCCAAAGGGATCATGACTGATGAGGCTCATGAAGAATGGTCTCCAATTGCAAAAGGGTCTCACGACTTATGGCAAATTCCACCCCGGAAGATTGGAAGGAAACCCTTTCCTCCTACCTTCCGGACATGTTCCTCAAAGCACTTGAGGACGTTGTCGATGTAAGAGTCACCAAGAGTGACAATGGCAACTTTGATGGACTCGTGTTTGACTTGACTAGGTCACTCTCAAACATGAGGATAAAACCACCAAACATTGGATATCTTGCTAAGGAAAGGTGTCGGCTTTGGACCAAGGTCTACAATGCCAAATTGAGACCCGGCATGCCCCTTCGACCTCATGTGCTAGGAATTACTAGGCTATTCAAACACATGCAGCTTCTCGGAATCTCATTGGAGGATGAGATGGCGGGGCATATCTTGCTTGCTTCGCTCCACTCGGGCTATGATGCACTTAGAGTGTATATAGCTGCAGGAAAGGAGACACGCTCCTTAATGGAGGTGGTGCAACTACTCAGCCGAGCCACCGCATGTGGAATGACCGAGAGGCCCTTAAGAGCAAGGAGAAGGGAGTTCAAGAAGGTCAAGGAGAAGATGTGTTGCTTCTATTGTTGTGGGAAAGGCCACTACAAAAGAGAATGCAAGCTCTTCAAGGAAGAAGAGGAGAGGAATGGAGGATCTGCCTCAGGTATCTTCCTAAACACTTGTGAATTAAGCTTATCATAGGTATTAGATACCAAGTATGACTCACTTTATGTTGCCTTTTTACGGACCAAGTGAGAAAGCTTATCAAGTGTTGGTGCATGGACAAGTAGACGACGAAGATGGTTTTTCGGTCGTGCTTGCATGCACTATTTTGTCTATGACATATAATTAAACTAATCTTAGTTTTTCATCATGCTTTTGAACATACTATGATCTATGGTGTTGGACACCTAGTTATTTTGCATGTAAGACTTTGACAATAGTTGTTTCAAAATTGTCTTGCAAATATATGTTCAATGGAAATTGCATGTTTTTACATATGATTAGACAAAGATGATACCAATAACTAAGACATCTAAGAATTCAACTTCGTTAATCAACATTAGTAGATATGGCTATATCTACTTAATGTCGAATAAATTTAAATCCTTTGAGAAATTCAAAGAATTTCAGAAAGAAGTTGAGAATCAACTTGGCAAGAAAATTAAAGCACTTCGATCGGATCGAGGTGGCGAATATTTGAGCCATGAATTCGACGATCACTTGAAAGAAAATGGTATTCTTTCAGAGTTGACACCTCCCGGAACTCCTCAATCGAACGGAGGAATCGAACCTTGTTAGACATGGTTCGATCAATGATAGGTCTTAGTGAACTTCCTATCTCTTTCTGGGGACATGCACTACAAACCGCGACACTAACACTGAACCGCGCTCCGTCAAAAGCTGTTGAAAAGACTCCATATGATTATGGACTAAGAAACCTCCTAGGTTGTCTTTTCTCAAGATTTGGGGATACGAAGCATATGTCAAGCGATTAATTTCGGACAAACTTCACCCCAAATCGGATAAGTGTTTCTTTGTGGGATATCCAAAAGAAACCAAAGGGTATTACTTCTAAAATAAATCCGAGAACAAAGTGTTTGTTGCTCGTGATGGTGTCTTTTTGGAGAAGGAACTCCTTTCCAAAATGACAAGTGGGAGGAAAATCGAACTCGACGAAGTTCGAGAGGACGAGCAACAATGTCAACCTGATAAAACTGACAATTTAAGTGCTTTGGAAGCAGCTGGGAAGATTGGTCAGAATCAAACAGACAATGTCAATGCTCAACCTATTACCCTTCGTAGGTCGCAACGACAAAGATCTCAACTGGACAGATACCTCGGTATCGTCTTAACCGATGATCAGGACATCTAGTCATGGATGGTGATGAGCCGGCGACATACAAGCAAGCTATGAAGAGCCCCGACTCTGCAAAATGGCAAGAGGCCATGAGATCCGAGATGGACTCCATGTCTGAAAATCAAGTCTGGGACTTAGTGAATTTGCCCGAGGGTTACACACCCATTGGTTGCAAATGGATCTTCAAATTGAAGACAGACAAGGATGGAAATGTATCGATATACAAGGCTAGAATGGTGGCAAAAGGTTATAGGCAAGTCCACGGGATTGACTATGATGAAACCTTTTCACCAGTTGCAATGCTAAAGTCTGTCCGGATTATTCTAGCGATTGCTACATATTACAATTATGAAATATGGCAGATGGATGTCAAAACCGCCTTCCTGAATGGGATTTTAAAAGAAACTGTGTACATGACACAACCAGAAGGTTTTGTCGATCCGAGCAACGCTGGAAAGGTTTGCAAGCTTAAGAAGTCCATTTATGGACTAAAGCAAGCAAGCAGGAGTTGGAATCTGCGATTTGATGAAGCCATCAACAAGTTTGGTTTTATCAAGAATCCAGAAGAATCTTGTGTATACAAGAAGGTCAGTGGGAGTGACATCGCATTCCTAGTCCTATATGTCGATGACATACTGCTCATTGGAAACAACACAAAATTACTAGAGTCCGTAAAGGGCTGGTTGGGAAAGTGCTTTTCAATGAAGGACTTAGGAGAGGCACAGTACATATTGGGCATCAAGATCTACAGGGATAGATCTAAGAGGATGATTGGATTGAGCCAGAGTACTTACATTGATAAAGTACTGGCACGATTCAACATAGAGAATGCCAAGAGAGGGCATCTACCCATGTCCCATGGCGTAACTCTTAGCAAGAAACAGTGTCCACGGACACCTGTTGAGCGAGAGAGAATGGATCAGATTCCATATGCTTTGCTAATTGTGTCGATCATGTATGCCATGATATGTACAAGGCCAGATGTATCGTATGCCTTGAGTTCTATGAGCCGATACCAATCAAACCCAGGAGAGGCGCATTGGACTGCGGCCAAGAATATCCTGAAGTACTTGAAAAGGAACAAGGATAAATTCCTGGTTTATGGTGGCCATAAAGATCTGGTTGTTGAAGGTTACACCGACGCTAGCTTCCAGACTGACAGAGACGACTTCAAGTCACAGTCAGGGTACATATTTTGCCTAAATGGAGGAGCATTTAGCTGGAAGAGTGCCAAGCAGGGCACAACTGCAGACTCTACAACTGAAGCCGGATACTTGGCTGCTTCGGAAGCTGCTAAGGAGGCTGTTTGGATTCGAAAGTTCGTTAGTGAACTTGGTGTTGTACCCTCCATCAAGGGTCCGATAGATCTCTACTTTGACAACAATGGAGCTATCGCTCAGGCTAGAGAGCCAAGAGAGCCCCAGAAGGTCAAACGTGTCCAAAGGCGATTTCACATGATAAGGGAATGGAAATCCGAGGGTGAAATCAGAATTTGCAAGATCGGCACGGATGATAATGTAGCCAATCCTTTGACTAAACCTTTGCCTCAAGTGAAACACAACAAGCACGTTGAGGCAATGAGAATCAAGCACATTGGAGATTGGCTTTGGAATTCCCTGTACATGTGTTTTAATTAAACTGGTTGATTTAATGTAAGACACTGTATTAAAACCATTCATTTATGGAGTAATTAATTTTTGTGCAAAATTATCATTCACTCTATTGCTATTTAATTGTGGTTTAGAATTAAATAATGAGTCCATTCAATTTATGGAAATATTCAAAACAGGGTATCAAGATCATGTCTTGGATAAAGAAACACCTGTTAAGTGAACATTGAATATTTAAATCGAAAGTTACCCCTAATCGAGGTCATCTAACTGATGGAATATTGATGACCACCAGAGATTAGTGTGTAGTATGATTTACAACACCGTTTCTTGTGTTGCAAGGACATGATGGTCATAAATCATTTGCACAGGTGCCAGTTTGGAACTGCACTAGATCGACCTATGAGAGTACTTTAAGAGATTCAAAATTGTCATAAGTACATTTCTCATTATAGCTATCGAAACTCGTTTCCTCGACCATGAGTGTTTTGAAGTTTTCTTGTTTGAGAACTAGTCTCTTTGATGTTGCCTAACGTCTGCTGTAACTGGGGATCATAACGGGAACACTCGGGAGATTAGGTCCTCTTAGTAAGAGAAACTTACAATGCAAGACTGGGAATGTCCCCCTATTAACAAATAGGGAATATGTCTTTGTTGTTTAAAAGGCCGCTCGATGAGCGAGACTGTGAAAATGCATGGTCGTGCTCAGATGGATTTTAGAAATCATCTGTTTATTGACAGTCGAACTCAGAGATCGAGAAACACTTCTGAACGTAATACGGATGACGATGAATCTTACCTTATAGTTCACGAAGAGACATTAAACGATATAGGAAATGGGCTATACACTATATGCACACTTGTCCGGAAGGACAAGTGGGAGATTGAAAGGAATGGTGTCCTTCCAACAAGTGTATTATTCTGATAGAGGGTTTAGAATTATTACAGAGCTAATTCTTCAGTAAGGTCAAGTGATCGGAATGCCTAGGTGGAGGCCGCTTTCGATTAGTAATATTAAGGTATAATTAATATTACAGCTTAATCTTAACTGAACCCTTCGGGTTGAACCTAATCGAACAACCGATCCGAGACGACGAATTAATCCGAAGGATTCAATGAGTCGACGGAGTTTTACGAATACAGACGTCGGATATCGAGCCTAGGGCGTCGAGACCGAGCGTCGCAAAATCACAAGCAACAAGTATGAGCATAGCACTACTACAAAACCCACTGATTTTCGACGCTGTCAATAGGGTGTCAGTGGAAATTTTTGTTCCCGCGTTTTCTCGACGCTTTTCAGCGTCCTCACTTATTTTGACTTGAAAAAGCGTCCAGAATATAAATCACGTGATAAGCGCATGTGCTCCAGCTTGCGAACTGAAATAAAATTAGACAACAAAACCGTTCATCTTTTACTCTCCAATAATTAAACCCTAGCCTTTCACTCATTTCACTCCTCAATTCATCTATCCAAAATCGAAAACCTAGTAACAAATTAAACTGAAAGATGCTCTTTGATTTCATCATGTTTGGTATTCTAATCGTTTTCCGGTATTATCTCCTTTCTCTTTGGATTTTGATATTAGTGGTTTTTCTTTTAGTGCTTTTTTTCGATTTCGATTTTTTTTCTGATATATTATTCTTAATTTATCATGGAGGAAGAGGAGATAAACAAAGCTGTGATGTTGAAGTCTCTTTGACAACAACAGCTACGAAAAAATACACATTCGAATGTTCACGCACTGACCCAAATGTCGCTGAGCTCATCCTCGCCTTTACTTTCGAGTAATTTCTCGCATCTAATTTATTTCTTGTATATTTTTTCTATTAGTTGAGTATGTAATTTTGCTGAATTCTGTTCATTTTGGTTTAAGAATTTTCGAGTAATTAAGAATTTTGTTGTTAATTGAATTTATAAAATTTAGACCTAGAACCCATGGTGCCCATGGTGTCAAATTTTGTCTTCAAGTAAAGGCCTCACCTACAGTCCTTCACAATTCATTTGATAATACCCACACCATTTGGCTGGGTAAGTCCAATTGTCTGGAGTTGGGACCATACCTAGACCACATTGAAAACTGATTCTATCTTTTCTTTGCCAAGTAGTAAATCATAGCAGGACCAAATTAATTAATTGATTGGATTGTTTTACTGTCTCTAGACTGCCCATTGAATATATCTTATTTTTACTAACTATCTCTGCATGTGCTGTATATTAGTTAAGTTAGAGTGTATTAGTGGTGACATTGAGAATGGGCAGTCTTATGATTGAAATTTGAGTGCTTTTGTTCATGTAATAATCTGTATGTTTGAGTCTTTTTGTATATGAAGATGCTGATGTTCATATCAGTTGTAGTGTATATGTAGATATACTGATCAAGTGGTTACATGTAATTATTACTTACTTGTGTGTAAGGCTGATTAGATGTGTAATTTAATGTATACTAGTTTCGGATAAGTAAGGCTCGTCTCTTATCATTTCTCACAACATGTATTAAACTTTTAATGCTCTTTTTGATAGTGGTCTTTTGCTTTTACTCATATTAGTGGTCTTGTAGAGTTATACTTAATATTAGTGTTAAATTAATTTATTTTTTTAATCTACTTCATATAATAAGATATTCACACAGAAAGTTAGTACCTTGATTGCAACTCACGACATTTGAGTCGATCACATTCTTAGTTCTTAAGAAGGTACGATATTAATCAATAAGGCTTCTGATCTTGTGAGCATGGAGTATGGATTCTAGATATTCTTGCATTTAAATTCCTTTTTAATTTAAATCTCCATAGCTTTCATATCAGGTTGTATCTTTTTCTTTAGGTGTTTCTAATTATTTGATTTTCATAACTAGTATACATAGTTGGAGTTTATTTGGGATTGCTCTTCTTATATTGGCCTCATTTAATTACATATTGTAATTGGAAATAAGCCAATTCTTTCTCAACGCATGGTAGTAATGTCGCTGGACATTATTAGTGAGGATTATTAAAAATATTATATGGACAATGACAAGGACAACATGTATATATCATTAAGTTTCATGTACTCTCCAAAACATATGAAGTATAATTTCTCTACTCACTCCAATTGTATTCGATGTCTTCCCTTTTTTTGCTGATAGTATTCAGGTACAACCTTACCTTTTGTCTTCTGGATTGTTTACAGAGTTTTTTTTTTTAATACCAATTATAACTAGATAAATATCAATCTCTCATTTTGGCCCTCTCTCTATCAAATTTGGCACACTCAATCTTATTTTTCTTTGGTTTGATTAACTATTGGTTAAAATGTATGATACGATAGTCTTGTTTGTTTTCTCATGAATAATGCAGAGTATCATACTTTAGGATGCACAACATATATATATATATATATATATATATATATATATATATATATATATATATATATATATATATATATATATATCCAGAGTGTTCTTGTTGTATCTGACTTTGAGGCATGTATCAAGGGTGTTCTTGCTGTTGTATACTTTTTTTTTTTCTGGTGGTATTAGAGTGGTAGTGTGTAAATTATAAGAATATTGATTTTGTGTTTTTAGTTTAACAGTATGTGATACTGAGTATCTATATTGATAAGTACTGAAATTATGGTGTTTAAAAGAAAGTGATAAGGGATGAATAATAAAAAGATTTAAAAGCAGTTTGAAAATGTTATGTGCTATGTAGAAGTTTCTAAGATGGTCTTTGATCGAGATTTAATTTTATTTTTATTTGGGTTTAATGATAAGCTCCAAACTAAAATTTTTATTTTGTTATACACTTGCTTTGTCAAAGGTAAGAATACACTTTCTCTCTCTCTTATGGAAATAACTATTATCCCTGCAAGGTGAGCAATAACTTTTTAAGGCATTATATATGTTTTTATTGGAACTCAACTAGCTTTGACAAGCTAATAGTGCTTATTGAAGTGGATGTGTGGTTCTGTAGCAAATAAATTGATGCCCATATTCTATTTTCATCTACATTCATTTGCAATTTGGGTAAATTAAGGAATGAATTTTGGCTATATTTTGTAGCAAGACTACATATATTGCCTATTTAGATGCTGCTGAAATTTTGAAAAGAAAGGATGTACATGTGCTGGTTTTATAGCTTTGTTCTTTTGAAGCTTCATTTAAAATTTCATAAAAAAAAATTACTTGCATGATATTCATACATAGGTGCATAATTATAGCATTATCTTCAAATATACCCTTATGTTAATATCTCTCATACTAGACTCTTCCGGTTTAATATTTATTTTGGTCGTATCCGTGCCTGTATTGATCTTCATGTGTATTTTAAACTTGTCCACTGAGGACTGGGAGCATAAATGTGCAAGAATGAACGAATTGAATATTCTGCTGAGTACGGTTGTTACCAGTTAATATATGTTTAGAAATTCTGTTTTATCCTACCTTTATACTTTATATATTGATCATAAAACACTTGTTATTTTTGAAAATCAAACTATGTCTTTTGGGTAGCAACATTTTTTTCAAGAGTGAGAAGAGAAACCTCCTAGTTATGTTGGATTACTTTTTGTGGGAGGTCATATCTGTTTATATCTGGTTGTGTTGGTGTTTTATATTTTTCTGCTGGTAGAGTACCATAGCTTGGAGTTTTTTTTAGATTTGTCGCGGCTCTGTATTGTTGCTGCTGTTATTTTATCGCCCTGTAGCTGCAGTTCTGTTCGTCCCAAAAATTTTAGACCTGCAGTCGTTTTTAGCCTCTAGTCCTTTCATAAAAGTTATAGATCTCAAAAGGTTATCCAATCTAGGCTCAAGAATTTCTCAAATTGGAATTTTGTGCTAGGAGTTATGCCTTCTGGAAATTTCTGTGGTCTGCTGACTTGATTCTATCGCAGCGGGCTGTTATTTTTACTTGACGATTGTGTGGGTTGTTTTGTTGAGTTGGGTGGGCTTGCTGAAATGAATCCTCTGGCTTTTCTTATTTGTTTTAGTATATTTTTCCTCTAGTTAATTATATATTACTGTAGCTTAAAGAAGAACTATGGTTGTGTTCTTGCATTGAAATGCTTGATTTTGGTGCTTTACAGAATATGAAGTGACTTAACAGGGGAAGGATTCATTACATACACTAAGGCAATTTATCAGCAAGAGGTGTAAAGAGTAAGAGGAAATTTTTTTAGCAAGAAATCAAAAAAGCAAGAGGTGGCTGCTTACTTGGGATCTTCACAGGTTATCAATCCCCACCAATTATTATTGCTTCATGTAAATTCCTACTATTAGAAAAAGTTGCAGGTTGATTACTATTTTCTGATCATCGTATATACACACTCATATATATAAGGTCGCTGTACTTTCCACAACTTTACAAGTAAACTAGTTCTCTATTGAACATACACCGACAAGGTAAAGGTAGTAAGGTACTAGTTTTCCCATTTCTATTAAAATATCCATTGAACTGAATATTGAACTATATGATTTGGTTGATGCAATCCCATGTCCATTATATGTATATATGACATAATGTTTAAGTAAGAAATAAATAATATGCCTTGAATTGATTTTCCATGTAAGAGGGGTTTAAGTGCAACATCCCCCCTATGATTGCTCTGAAGCTAGTGATATTTATTATATTTTAACTACCGTTTTCTATTGAGCTGTGCGGTTTTCTGTCTTCTTTATATAGGTTTATCAAAAACTTTGTTAACTCAAACTTGGATATGAGTGTCTAGCCCTACTGAAGTTTCAGGTGTGAAACTACAACTTTCCCTCTCTTATCTACCTAGCTTCCCTCTCTTCATTAAAAGAAATGTATCTTTTGCATTTGCTCATTGCAGTTTTCATGCGGTTGTGATTCTGATTTCTTCAAACTGTTTATATGCTTTTGACATCCCAGGCCACACTAAACCACTAGTTCCTGCCAATGATCCAGAAACATCAAAGGGTGTGTTGTGACTTCAAGGCCAACGATAATTGGTTACAATGTGAGCTTTGCTTTATGCCCCCTTGCGAGCAGATTAAGGAAAAGCTAAATTAGAGATTGATTGAAGTTTTTTGTGATGAAATTAGCATATTTGTTCCACTACAACTAGTTACGAATTAAGTATAAGTTGGAATCATGAGCATAAGTTGTAATAGAGAACTCATTACTATGAGATATTATACATGTACTATAATATTTATATTATATGCAATAAAAAAAATTGGCCTAATTTTGCTGTGTATATATTGGTAATACTAGTTTCAGTGTGAAATATTTTTTTTGTTAAATATATTCTAGATATTTTTATAAAGATTATGGACAAAAAAAAGCATTTCCAACAAAAAAATATAGACCGAAAAAAGCGTCGCCAAATTTCTGAACATCAAATATATGAAATATGGACACGAAAAAGCGCCGCTAAAATTGATAAAGTGCGCCAACTACTGAAAGTTCGACACTTCGTATAAAAATTTGGACAACTTAAAGCGTCGAAATTTGCGACGCTTTTTTGTGACGCCAAATTCTCGACTCACTTTTTCTCGACGCTTTTCTGAAGCTTTGAGAAACAAATTTTCGACGCTTTTTGGCGTCGAAAAAATGCTTTAAAAGCGTCTAAAAAGGACGCATTTTCTTGTAGTGTAGCCGTAGCTAGGCTAGGCTAGCTCATCGCAAGCCTAGGCGCACCATGTGTGTGCTAGGCGCACCATGGTGTACTAGGCGAGGCATGAGTGCCTAGGGGCTATCGCAGCCCTAGCATCATGCCTAGGTGCTATCGCAGCCCTAGCATGATGCCTAGGCACCATCGCAGCCCTATCACACCAAGCACATCACCCATGTGTGTGCGCATGTGCGTGGGCACTATCGTAGCACCCTAGCACCACGCACAGCACCATCGCAGTGCTAGGCGCATGCATGTGTGCGTGTGCACCATCGCCCAGTAGCCTCGCAATGCAGCACCGAGCCTTCGCGTAGCTGTGTGCTTGCGTGCGTGCCTTCGCATCGCAGCACCAAGCACAACAAGCTAGCAAGAAGCACCAAGCCCAGCATGCGTGGCTCGCTAGCAGCACGCATGCTAGGCCTTGCGTACGTGAGTGCGCTGGCTGGGCTATGCGTATGCTGGTTATGCGAGAGGGTGTGTGCGTGTGCGATGGCGAGAGAGGCAAGGGCCAGCACTAGCGCCAGCAGCTAGCAGCGCCTAGCACTGGCACGCAGCAGCAGCACAAGCATCGCCCAGCGCTAGCACGCATTGCCTGGCTGGGGATGCGAGGCTGCTGGCTGGGCTAGCTGGCGTGCTAGCTGGCAGCAGCCCAGCAGCCCTTGCTTGAGGCAGTTTGTGGTGAGTGGGTACCAAAGGCTTGGAGCATGCCTTGGGGAGCAAGGCAATGGTCCCCCCAAGGTTCATGGTCCTCACCTAACCCTCTCTTTCCCCTTGACACTTGTTGCATTGTGATTGATTTGATTATTAATTTATTTTGGAATTAAATTAATTATCAGAATTATTCATTCTCCCACATTGGTTGGGAAATGAAGTTCAAGGGTTCATTTCCCTATAACTACCAAAGTTTGGGTATTTTGGAAAGAACAACCTTGAGTGGAATTAAAAGGCAACTCTTGATTTGAGTAAACCTTGATTCGTAAAACTCACACTTTTATTTTTCCGGGTCTCGACTAACCTTCGAGACTTAGGACGCTCGGGTCGGGTTCGAGGGTACGATCCCGTTGGAGACCTCGTATTTCGGGGTTCAAGTAAGAGCTCATAGTAGAGCGAAGCACGCGTCAAAGGTATAATCTTTTATCCTTAACTATGTTTTAATTATGTTTTGCTTGTTAATTGCATTTATTATGGGGGCGGGTTTTGGCGGGTTTCTTTCCGCGTAGTGAGGGTCACTACGAAACCCAACACAAACTATTTAGTATTGCGAATAATTTGGAGTTTTTAGTTGTTGTGTTAATCAAAGGCTAACAATAAATGAATTTAGCTTTATCCGTTACTTGAGTTCTAAACTAATTAATATTTTGAATTGAAGTTGTAAGTTGTTTTAATAATCAAAGGCTAATAATAAATGAATTTAGTTGTACGTATTCATTGCACGTAGTACTGTCAAATTTTTAATCGAAACTATTTGTCTATCCGAAGTCGACCGACTAAAATAGAACTGAACCGATTATTTGAAACCAAAAGCGGACCCAATTCGTAGTTTAGTAAACCTGAAACCAAACCGATGCGAATAATTTTAAATCCTATAAGAACCGAACATGTTGAAGAATCGAACAAGTCCTATACCTAACCGAAATAGGACCATATTGAAAAATAACCGAAAAGTTTTAATTTCGACCCAAATCTTTTCTAACCCTACACTGTTTGAAATAGGTTAAAAATCATTTAAACCAAACGTATCAAACTGTAATCCGTTTATGACGAACCGTTTACACACCGAATTGTTCACAAACCGACCCGCTTATAAAATGAATTGTTTACAAACCGCTTGCTTTAAAAAATTGGTAACCACATTAGAATTAATCTCGTCATTTTAATCTAAACGTATGAACTATAAATTGAAGATTAAAAAAAAGCTAAAAGGAATTTGAAATGAAATCTTATTATGTACACATGTTACTATGTAGTACATTAGTACTAGAGTATTGGTTAAGTTAGTAATTAGTTCAATTTTAATTTATTTTACCTTTAACTGATTTTAAACTATATTCATGCATCATTACTTCATTAGAACAACTTTAGAAGAAAGGAAAGTGTTGAAAGTGTTAAAAATGATGATGTTGAAATTAATTAAATTACTAGATGACAAATATACAGAAAGAAAACCCAATTTCAATCCGACCAAAATGAAATTGAACTAAACCGGCTAATTAATTTATTTTACCGATTAAAACCGACTCGTTATGGAATGAACCGTTTCAACCCCACCCAATTTAATTTGAACCGATGCAAACCTAAGTAATCCCATTCACAAACCGACCCGTTTTAGACCAACCAGATTATGACCTGAACAGTTTATTATCCGAACCGTTTACGACCCAAACTGGATATAAACACGAACCCACATTAATCTGTGAAAACCTGCTCCTAGATCGACCCGTTTTAAACAAATGTGATTATGCCTCGAATCGTTTATCATCTCAACTGTTTACGTTCCGAACTAATATAATGTAATACCCTTAAATCTCCTTCTACGGATATATATAAGTATGATACGTACAATTATACCGTAGAGATAGACTTAGGCATATTACCACCACGTGATTACGCAAGGCTACTCAAAATTACTAACCAAAACCAAAACTTTGTAGCAGAAACTCAAACTCTTCCTTTATTAATAATTAATATAACTAGTAATCATTGTTATGAGTACTCAAAAATAGAAACAAAGACCAACATTCCAAAACTAAGTGAACAATATCTCAGGACTCCCAAATGCTCATTTATTGACTCCACCTGAAAATAGCCACCACTACATACCATTAAGGTAAATAGGGCGAACCAAAACCAAAAGGAAATACGGATTAGCAAAATATGCTATGTACGACAAGTGCAAGATAAGTAAACTTAATTTATTAGCAAACATGCTTCTTAAATCAATCATGAAAATTCCAATATTTATTTCAATAACTCAAATCTCATAATTCAAACCAATTCTCAAGATTCACAAAATAATTCCAATAACTCAATAATTCAATAAAAGTGACTATTAAAAAAATCAATTCCTCTTTTAATAACTCAATTCCTCTCCTAAGTGTGCACACCCCCCAAACTAGTATCATTATATCGAAAGGCTATTCTTGAGGAAAGAGTAGGTCATACAAAGTCCATAGTCTTTTCACCCAAATCTGCATAATGGGATTAATATAATCATGCTTGAAAAGCTTTACTAAATAATTCAATAAAGCCTCTTTAAATCAATAATTTCAACCTTTATAACAATCAACTCAAACTCCTTTTTATTTAATTCAACAAGTTTTCAAAATCAAACCTTTTAAACATGATAAATAATTCAATTATTCAAAACATGCTATTAAAATCAATCCTTCAAATTTATATCAAAACCAATTTTTTTTAACATACTTTATTTTATAAATCATTATTCAAATAAATTTAATTCAATCATCATAGAAATCATATAAAACATGCATATTCAATCCAATCAATTTCGAAGGTATCTAGCCACCTAAACGTACCTTGATCTTTGCTTAGCAAACACCAAAAAGGAACCTCAAGAACTCGATCTTGTCAAAAACACCCTACAATTAAATATAACCTTAATCAATATAAGGTCAACAAATAATCTTAACAATTAAAATAAATTCCCCAGTTATATGTACATGAACCTTATAAAAATTCTTTTTCATAAACTTGAATAATAACCTAATTTTATTTAATGAAAAACACTCATAATAATTTTTATAAAACCCCCATAATAATAGTAATAATAATAATAATTAGGAGAAGAGAAGAAGAAGTTGAAAACTGTGAAGAGGAAGGAGGAAAGGCTCGGCAAAGGGGAGCAGCAGCACGCCGACAGGTGGCTGTTGCTGGTGGCTGGCGTCGGTGGTTTTTGTGGTGGTTATTTAAGAAAGCCGTGAGAAAGAGTAGAGAGAATTAGAGAGAAATTAAAGAGAAAAAGAGAGCTTTTGGTGTGAGTTTTTTACTATGATTCAAGGGGTATTTATAGGCTACCTCATGCAAGAATTATGGTAGGAAAATGTAAAAAGAATTGTGGTAATTTGGTTTAGGGAATTACTTGAGAAGAGAGCTAAAGAATTAAGGAAAGTTTTTTATGGTGATTAAGGAATTAAGAATTATGGTAAGTATGTTGTCATGAAAAATAACATGCTTAATGGCTTTGCTTGGTTAATAATCAAGAATAGTTTAAGGTAAATAAATAAGATGATCAAATATTTGGGAGATAGAAAATAAGAATTAAAGAAATAATAGAATTTAAGGAAGATAATTAAAATACAATAATTACCAAAATAATTAGCTCAAAATATCATATGGTGGCCGAATTTTGAACTTTCCTAAGATAATATTTTTGGACCTCCCTATTAATATTTAAGCATTATTTTGCTAGATTTTAAGGAATAAAAATGATTGTGTAAATAATATACATTGTATAAAATAATTAATTAGGAAAATACCAATTATTAACTAATTAAATCAATTAAGAAAAATCAGATTTTCTTCACTAAGAAAATCCAAAAATTCCTAGC